GGCATAGAAAGTGATCGAATTGGAGAATGATGTCTGAATCAAAGTTGTAGCCAGATGAGTTAGCTTTCCAACGCATTTTGAATCGCCTCAATCGGATATCGGAATACAAAGTTATGATAAAAACACTGAAAGAATGTGCAACTGGCTGTTTAAAATAAGAAATTTCGTTACATAATCCGTTAAAACAACAAATTCCGTTAGTTTTTCTGTTAAAAACAAGAAATTTTGTTACATAGCCACTTTTAATATATAGAAGATATTTTGTAACGGATCGTATTAATTTAGAGAATCGGACTGTGTAATTAGGTATTTACCTAATTTAGACAAGATTGAAAATAATTTTACTTATGTAGCAAAATTTTTCCCCCAAAAAGTAAGCATAAATGACGTTGAAGACACACAACATGCATCAATAAATCTCCCTATTTTCCAATGCATAAGCACTGCTCATGGGGTCAATCCATGAGCCATGTTTATTTTGGCATTTAGGTGCCATAAAGTTGACAAAAGCAAAGTTGAAATCACAAAATAATCAAATCATATTGCCTATAAAATTACTTTTAAGTGTTTAAAGATAAATATAAGTAATTTTAATTTATTTCTAATCAACTATTTAGTCAAGAAAATCGAACAAGGTTGTGGCTTATCAAGCAAACAAATGTTTCAAATTTATGTTTTATCGTCATTTACTAACAAAAACTTCATAAGCTTTTTAATGGGGCGATCGTTTCATATTTAGCCCATGTTTGGTCCACATTATTTTTTTCATTCTCATTCTTTTACTCATTTCCAATCACACATTTTTCAATAAAATAATATTTTTCATCACATCAATAATTTTCCCTTCTTTTTCAACAACATATTCCCCATTACATCATTAAAAAAAATGCATTCTTGATTTCATAATGCGCACCAAACAGGTCATTAATAGGATGACTTAAACTAGATTGTGGGACCAGGTTGGAGCTCGAAATTATCATAATATTGAAAAATTAATCAAGACTCAGTAGACCAAGATTGTAAGTTTAACACCTAACTTTTAAGATGGTTTATGGCTCTGATTGTTTCAAAAGAAAGCCAAAGAAAACCAGTGGGTAGAAATCTGGTCTAATGTGAATAAATCCAATCCAGATTCAGAAAGGAAAATTTCGTAAGAGATTAAGTATTACCTATTTTAAAATAAAGAAATAAAGTTTAAAATTTCAAAAATCAGTAATTAATTACATTTTATGTATGAAATAATTAATTAAATATATATTTTATTAATTAAATATATTAAGATCACAATTCTATACAATTTGGTCACAATTATTTAATTAATTGATCACAAATTATTTTTCGGTCACTGAACAAATTTTGTAAGTCAGAAATTATTTTTGAGTCACGGATCAAAAAATTTATAAGTCACAAATTATTCTCGATTATAGATCCAAAATTTTATATGTCACAATTTATTTGTCGATTACAAAATCACAAATTTTATAAGTTACAACTTGTTTAATGGTCACATATTATCAAATGAATTGATCAAAAGTAATTTCTCCATTACAACTTTTAATAAATTGTGAGTTACAATCACATTTTTTAGGTCACATTATTTATTGATCGTAAATTAACCAATTTATTGGCCACAATCTACCAAATAATTTGCCACAAAACATATTAACCAATTTACTAGTTAAAATCAACAAATAATTGGTCACAAATACTCCCCAACCCACATCACTCCACTGTACTCCACTCCACTTCCTCCACCACCACAACCACAACCCTCACCAAAAAAATTCCAAAATTAGCCGCCGACATCACAACCACCATCACCACCTCGTGCCAACAAAATCATCACTACCATCGCATGTATCAACAAAAACCACTACCACCACCATCTGTATCAACAAAATCACCGTCGTCATTGGATTCAACAATGTCATCGTCAGATCCACCGTTGATCAAACAAAACCCAGATCTAATGTCACCACTAAATCAACCACCTTGCCACCAACAAGAACCACTACCAAAACATGTAAACCACCGCTACTACCATTTACTATGCCAGGCGACTCTATCGCTATAGCACTGCCACCACCCATTAACCGGTCACAACCACAACCACCATATATGATCGACGTCACCGCCACAGCTACCATCACTGTCACTGTCACTGTCACCGTCACCGCCAACACAAACACCAAACACACTATCACCAACAACATCAACACCACTCACCACCGCAGCCAACATCGCAACCACCACCACTACTACCACAAAAAAATCAGATTCAAATAGACAGATACAGATTATGACAGATATAGGCAGATACAAATACAAAAGGGAACATGGAGGAGAGTGGAGTTGTTGGATTAGAGAGGGGTGACGGTGACGACGACGACCACTATAGGTGCAATCTACATAGAGTGGTATCATCGCTACATGCGCAATCTGCAATGCGCAGAGGTGATGTCGCTCCTCACACTCGTCGCTCTGAGCTCGACACTCGTCGTCGTCTCTTCTACGGCGCCCATAGTCGTCATCAGCCGCTGTGTAGAGAGAGATGATATTTGGAGAGAGAGACGGGGGCGGCTCTGGGTGTACAAAGAGGAAAAAAAAAAGAGATTGGAAAATAATTAGGGTTCGGTATGGTAGATGATAGTGTGGTAGATATTTAAAATAATTCTTATACTATTATTATTAATACTCACAATTTTAATTATATCTTATTTTTTTAAAGAAAAATTTATAACTCTTAGATATGAATTGAGATCTTAAAAACTCTTAATTTATGTAATTTCCACATTTAAAATCTCAATTGATGGGAATAAAGCCCATATTTGAATTCCATTTTGTAAAAGAATAATGCTATTTGACACAATTGATTTTTAACACCAGTCTAGTGGTATTAAATTAAAGGTTCCATTAAATGAATTACATAATTCACATTTAAATGAACATATCAAATATTGTTACATAAATTGATGTTCTAGCATCACTAGTGCTAGATAGCATTAGTCTTTCTAAAAACTCATGTTTTTTCAAATTCATTTTTAACTATATATTCTCTCAATAAAATAATTTTATACGTAAATTCTAAATTTTTTTTTTCTACTTTTTAATTGCACATTTTCTAAAAAATTACTATTACAAAATAGATTCTTCCCAAAAATAGGGGCTAATGTTACATACTCGTTTTAATGCTATTTGTGTTAATTTCCCCATGCTTCTAACCCAACATGTAACGGGTCAAGAATCCCAGCCCTTCTTGTAAATGAACTAGCAGCAGATAGAATGAGGAATGGATAAACCCTGAGTAAAATCCAACGCCATGGCAGCACTTCACCTCCTTCTTCCCTCCATTCCTCAGAAAAAGTTACAATCTTTAGCTGTAAATTCACTAACCCAATTCAAAATCTCCACAATTTGCTTCAATCCCAAAATCAAATCACCAAATCCCCGAAAAATAAGACCCAGCAAATCCTCCATTAATGACGCCCCCGCCACCTCTGAAAGCCCACCAAAAACAACCCGTAGAGGCCGTAAGAAATCCACTACAACTACAGATTCACCTCCCAGAAAAGTATCGAAACGCCGTCGTAAAGATACTGAGCTGTCAACGGTAGAAAATGATGAGGAGCTTTTGGATTATGACGATGGAATGGATATTCCATACGAAGACCCTCCTTTAGTGTGTTGTTTTGGGTCAGCCCAGAAGGAGTTTGTACCTACAGTGAGAGTGGCACCTGAGCAATTGCATCCTGATATATACTCACAGTGGAAAATGCTTCAATGGAATCCGCCCGAGTTTGTGCGGGCGCCTGGTGGTCCGCCTTCGAATGTGGCCATTTCCCATGTGAGGCTCGGTGGGAGGGCGGCGTTTATGGGGAAAGTTGGGAGTGATAAATTTGGTGAGGAAATGGTGTTAATGATGAACAAGGAGAAGGTGCAGACGAGGTCGGTGAAATTTGATGATAATGCGAGGACGGGGTGTGCTCATATGAAAATTAAGTTTGAAGGTGGTAAAATGAGGGCGGAAAAGGTTAAAGAATCTGCTGAGAACTCCTTGCTTAGCTCTGAGTTGAATCTTTCTGTGCTTAAAGAGGTATTCGATTATCTCTTCTAGCATTTGAAAAAGATCCTAATAATTCTTAATTTCTGGCTTTAGAGTCTTGGAAATTGGTGGATCAAAATTTATAGTCCTAACGAAGGAATGAACAACTGAATTGGCTAAATAAGTTGGCATATTTTGCATAGTTTGCTAGATAAACAGCTATAGGGCTGGATTCACTATTTGTGCAGCATATTCATTGAACCATATTTCCAGTGGTCTGTTTCATTTTGGTTATTTTGCTGTTGGTAATTCATTTCTTATGATTGTTTTCCACATGAATAATGAATTTGGCTTTACGTTGACAGCATGGTAAAGTATAAATATAAGTTTCCTGACATGAACATTTGTATAGCCTCAGGTTTCTAATGACATTGTTTACATGATTAATTGTTTGGAAAAGGTTTATGGGCTGCATGTTTTGAAATATTTGCTCGTTTTATCGCGGTGGTGTGATGAGGTTGAATGAAGCATATACTTATCCATTAATTCGTCATTGTAAACAGTATTGGAGTTGCACTAGTTAAATAGTGTATGTTAGTTGATTCATGGTGTCTCGTCTTTTACCTTGCAGGCTAGAATTTTTCATTTTAATTCTGAAGTTCTAACATCGCCATCCATGCATTCTACTCTTTTTAAAGCAATTTCCTGGTCCAAAAAATTTGGCGGTCTTATATTTTTCGACTTGAATCTTCCACTGCCATTATGGAAATCACGTGATGATACGTGGGAAGCGATTAAGGAAGCATGGGAACAGGCAGACATCATTGAGGTCACAAAGCAAGAATTGGAATTCCTTTTAGATGAAGAATATTATGAGAGGAGAAGAAATTATAGGCCTCAATACTTTGCCGAGAATTTTGAGGAAACCAAGAAACGAAGAGATTACTATCACTACACTCGTGAAGAAATCACACCGTTGTGGCACGACAGATTAAAATTCTTGTTTGTGACGGATGGAACACTTCGACTTCATTATTATTCACCTTCATTTGATGGAGTGGTGGTCGGTACAGAAGACGTACTCATTACACCATTCACTTGTGATAGAACTGGTTCCGGTGATGCTGTTGTGGCTGCAATCATGAGGAAGCTGACTACTCAACCTGAAATGTTTGAAAATGAGGATATTTTGGTGAGGCAGCTTAGGTTTGCAATTGCAGCAGGCATAATATCACAGTGGACGATTGGTGCTGTACGAGGTTTTCCTACAGAAAGTGCTACACAAAATTTGAAAGAACAGGTCTACGTGCCATCAATGTGGTAAACTAGAGAGCCTTCAAATCTGAAACCATAGTGCCGAGGTTTCCATTCTATGAAGAGTTTTTTATGTTCTTTTTACTGTGTTAAATGTGAGATATCTAGGGAGATGTACAAGAATTTTCAATTATTAAAAAGGTGACATCATCTCATCTTGCTGTTGATTTTCTTAAAAGATTTTGCATTGTTTTCTCCAGACTCGTAGTATTGTGTTTGACAAGTTGATATGATGTGGATTCTATAAAACAAGAATTGAAGTTAATTGATACAATTCTTGTCACATCTTCAGTTTTCACTAATATAACCTCAATAGAAGGAAAAAAAAAACCCTCTCTACACCTCTTGAACTGGATCCCTATATTCTCACAGAACCTTCTCAGTCTGGCCTTTGCTTGTTTACTTCCGTTAGTCCCTGATAGGTCTGGACTTTGCTTTTTTTAACTTCAGTAAGTCCCTGATAGGTGCCACGATGCTATAGTGAGTCATCAGTTCAATTTGAATAGTTCGAGCAGATAAACAGTCTATTAAAGAAGACAAGTCCACTTCATCTTCAGTCCCCCTCTACATGACTGGTGCATGTTCATTGCGCTCCAGCACCACCTTAAACCCCCCTAAAGGGCCTAAACCCTACACACTCAGTGCAAAAAATTGGAGAAGATAAGCTAGCAAATTACACACAAATGTATAACAAGAACATTCTTTCCCTGGAATTTTATCATGATTCGCATCAATAGTTACATCCCAAAATAAGCCTGTTAGGCTATTCCCCTGTTTGGGAGGCATTCTCGCCCCCATTATAATAAAAATTTCAACCGTTGGCTCAATGGATCCCTTGGTCACTGTCATTATTGACACGTGTCAGTGACCATTTGACTTATGTAGGCATGTAAAATGACAGAATTGTTCTTCCATGTTTTTATACTCACACAAAAATGAAGGATAGAAATGGTAATTGACAAAAACAAAACACGTTGGAATCGTCAAATGTTGTGGGCATCCTTTTTTTTGGCAGAAAGTGGGCCATTTCAACGGTAAATAAATTAATTCTTTGGGCAAAAAATGGCCATCAAAAAGGATGTATATAATATAATCCAGTCGAGGAAAATAATAAGAATGAATGAATAAATAAATCTATACTTCACTATTGTAGACAATCCTAGTGAAGAAAATAAAAATGAACAAATATAAAATCCTGCTCCAGTATCAGAAAGCAACAATGCATCTATTCTGTGTATCTGCCATCTCTTGTGTTATCAACATAGCAAAATCGCTTTAATCCTGTAGTGCACGTTCTGATATCTTAACCAATCACGCATCAAACTTGCCTAGATATATCATTTGCTGCAACTCTGCGATCCTGTTTCTGATAGAATCCCGAAGGATGAAAGTTCGGGGATCCACCAAAATCAGCGTGTATTATGCCGCAATACTTCACGGTTGAGACGAGTCTACAATAACTTGAAATGTAACTCATTATATTTGTGAAGCAACTCTCAAGCTAGGTTTATGGACGAGTGGCTGAAGCCTTCTTTGCTGCTCGGATTTATTACAAACACATCCAGGAAAAGGATTTGCGTAAAAGTTCTCCTCGAGTCTTGGTGATTCGCCTGCTTGTCTAAGGTATGGTGCTCCGAGTCTGTTCGAGTGTAATCTCTTGACTTCAGAAGCGAAATCCTCCCAAGTGATTGCTCCCTTGTCAAACAAATCTATCAGTCTAACAAAATTGAGCCTGAAAAAGGAAAGAACAGAATGAATTTACTTTGGCTCAAGAAAATACTTCAAGAGTAACTAGTGTCGAAAAAATATAATAAACCTGTCCGGATTTATTGTCTTCCTAAATCCTTCAAACCTTCTATGCCCTTGCACGGCCTTTGCCATATTACCGTCGTATGTGTAAACAAAGACATCACTTTCTACAGCTACAATGTGATCTAAGGCTGCGAGGCGGTTCTGATAAATCCTGAATGGCACCAACTCTTCTTCTGTGGCTAGGGTCGAATGAGTGAAAACATTTGGGTACTCAGACCGGAAGGCATCCATGCTGTTGTTACCATAAATTTCCCCCGCAACTATGTATATTCTAGTCGAGGAGGGATATCCCATGGCCTTTAGAAGTAATGCTGCCTCCCGAGGAGACATTGGGCAGCCTCCCTCTAGTCTCCTTTCTTTGCTGTCAATCTCTTTCTCTTTCCAATGCTTGACATCGAATCTCATGACCCGTAGTTCTTCAGCCTCTGCTGCGGTTAGATTGTGGCTGCAGCCAGTGAATGCAAGCATGTCTTTCTCATATCTGCATTAAATAGCCATTTTCTTAGTCACTTGATGGGAATTGCTACATCTACACGAAGATCAAATACGGCTATATCCTTAGCAACCACCACGCCTCCATTTTTTTACAAGTTCAAGTGAGATTTTAGGGATGACAATTATTACCTCAAGTGGAGAGCAATATATGGTTCACCATCAGTCCTAAGTCTATCCACCAATTTCTTTCCAAGCTCCTCAATCTCTGGTGTAAACCGGAGAGCCAAATAATTTGTACGACACCTGAGCCTCTGAATAGAGGACGCTAGGCCATTATTAGCAAGTCGTGAATCGGTATGTGTAAACTTGATCACCTTATGCTTCTTCAGCAAAGGAAGTATTTCGCCTCTGTAGTAACTAGCCTGGCAACAAAACAAAGTATCCGAGTTTAGGTCAAACTCACGAAACACGTGAATAGCTATCGAAATATGACCTCTCATAATTACCCGACCTTCGACCAAGAGACCGGTGCCTTGACCACGGGATTCAGTGCAGCATACCTTGATGGTAAGGATTCAACTATCTCAATATCATCTTTTAAAACTTCAATGAAGTGCCTCCAGTCAAAAATATCTTTAAAATCGCTGCAAAAAAAAACATAAGTTGAGGAAAAACCTAGATAAAACAAAATGTATTCTCAGCGAAGCATGATGACCGAGAAGAATTATACCTAGGATCTGTCCAAAAGGACTCGTGATCAAGTGAAGGAAGCACAAGAGTGGCATTCATAATTTTCGCTATGGCAGCCATATCGCATATCTGAAGTTGAATTAAACACAAAATGCTAGCAAAGTATTAAAAGACGGATTCGCAAATTAGGTGAAAGCGTCTAAAAGAGCATAGCGTTTGAACTTACTCCTGTTCGCATTTGATTCAATCCTCCATTGGCATGAACTATAATATAACCATTTGTCGCTGACCCCGTCCCTGAAAAAGAAAATAACATGCCTTGATCAAACAAAATGATCTGTGCAGGAGTATCATTAAATTCAGGACCGGTGAATCTTAACATACTTATGCGATTCCTAGGTCGAGTAATGCACTGGTAATAGTTATCACTGTCTGGTTTCATCCATATTTCTGGGACCTGTTCAAATGATAATCCTACTGTTAAACCAAAAAAAACACTGAAAGAAAGCCAAATAAAATCAATAATTATCCAAAAACCAGGCCTCAGTTCGGATTGCAGGCTGCAGCTTAAGACAAAACGTAGGGCCATAGGGGGGGAAAGGTGGAAAAAAATTGGAAAATTCATAACGGTCAAAATCATTAGCCGCCTGGAAAACAATTGGGTCAAAAGGCAACTGGCGAAATTCATATTGCATCCCCACTAATTGAGTTGTCAAAAAAAGAATATAAAATCTACAAACCATTTTATTAATTAATAAAAAGTAATGACTAAATTCTAATACAGTTCCCAACAAAAACATTCCTACCTTAAAATATTGTGAAAAAATAGAAAGATTTGCGCAAATTTATGATTTAATAAAAAAAAATATTCCTTAATTAATGTCAAAAGGGATGGAAAGATTAGAAATTTAACTTTACTAAATTATGAGTAATTTCAATTAAGAAGTCTCAACAAGATTTAAAGGCATCTTGAAAATCACAATCTTCCATGTGTTTCTGCTAAGAAAATGCAGGAATATAAGAAAAATATAAAATTCACTCCACATGCTTTGAAATCTGTCGATCTTGAACTAAAATCCCATTTAAATCAAGATTAAGATTTAAGTGTATAATTAACAAAACAAGGTAGTAAGATATAATGAACTCACCGGAATTTCCTTCATTCGCCGCTTCTGCATAAGGTCTCCGCCGGAAGATGCATCGGAATCAAACATGACTCTCTGAGCATTAGACCAATCATTGTTGAAATTTTGAACAATCAAAATCCCATTTACCTCCCTATGACCACCGCCGCCGGCCATAATAGAAAACTTCAAAAATGCAGTAACCACCACCAGCATCAACAGAAGCCCCAAAATTACACGAGCCATATTTGTTCTTGATCTCAAAGAGTGCAATATTGAATAAGCACTTAATAAAGATTCTTCCACGCCCAAAACCCAATTCTCCGGTACCCTTTTACGCACTAATAAATACCTAATCATCGGATGGTGGTGGTGGTGATGGTGGCTGCCACCACTATTATGTTGATACCCACCGACATTATCATCGATTGAAGTTTCTGAATCATCTTCTTCTGGAGAATTATCAAAAGAAATCTTTACATGGTCTAATGATTTCTCGACATCGTTGGTGGAGTCAGGCACACGGCGACGGTGAGTACTTGTAGGGACGCCGTGCATAGGACTGCCGTTGGTGCCGGAATTAGTGGTTCCACCGTTTGACATTATCAATAGTTCCCTAAAAGTCAAAAAAAAGTGAGAAAATAATGGAAAAATAGTGATTGAAAAGCCCGCCGTAAATTGCGATGTGCTTTTATTTATAATTTTCTATAGATTCGAAATTATCTTTTTTCCTTTTTTGGGTTTTATTTTTGCCAACCTCAAAAAGCTGTAAGCTTGATCTTCGGCGTTAACGCGTGTAGGAAAAAGAGAGGGAGAGAGGACTTGTGTTTGAAGAATGTGTGTGAGAGACAGATATACACATATAAATATATATATATAGAGAGAGAGAGAGAGTACCTTTGCAGGTAATAACTTGACCTT